CCCTAAACCCTAAACCCCTACAGGCTGGGCTCCCCACTCCTACTGCCTTGGCCGCGCCGGCTTTGACCTCAAAAGCCATTGCTTAGCTCAAAATGAAGGATCCTCATGGACCCTGGGCACCCGGTTTAGGTTTTAGGGTTTAGGGTTTAGGGTTTAGCTTTTAGGGTTGAGGTTGTAAGAGGGATTTGTTAGAGCTCACCTTTAAAGAAGCAATGGCGAGACTCTTGAACAAGTCCTGAAAAGTCCTAGAAGTGCAATGCAAGCACGGGACGATGACACAGCCAAGGCAACAATAAAACCTGTAACCATGAGATCTAGTCAGTTATGATGACGACGATGATGATGAGCTGCCTGAAGACAAGGGTTATAAGCAACAACAAGAAAGCTGAGAATGATTACTAGAAGATGCCGAATCACTGTGATGATGCGGATCACAACGCGGCTAATCACAAGAAGAATCATACTCACAGCTAGAACATTCGCAATGCTGTGATGGATGCACCACCCCCAACAGCTGGAACTGACAATAGTTCACGCGTGAAATTCCTACGTTTCACCACCACATTCCCCTGGATCCCCAACCGCCCAACCCTAACACCCTTCCGGCTTACCACGTACCCCCAGGCTCTCACAATCTCTAAACCCAAACACCTTGCCCACAACACCCAAATCTTCAGGTCTCCAGATATCCCACATCCCCGCAATGTCTGGTATTTTCCATGTATCCATGGGAGTTTCACCTGGTATTTAGGGTTTATGGCTCAAGGTTTAGGGAAGTATCCAAGTCATGTCAAGTAATCATGACAGAAATTGGGTAAACCCTACCCAATCATAGGGGTCCTGATTTGGGGCTGAGAAAACCAAAATCCCGTGACCATCAAATATCCAGCCCTGTATGACACTAATATAATGTTCCATCTCATTTTCCGGGTTCTTTTCCAATTGATTCTCCATCACGGTAACACTGTCATAACCCCGGCATAACCCCAACATACTAGCCATACACCCCCATTGATAAACCCTCAGTAGCAATTTCCAATTAATTTTCCATTTGATTTCCAAAGCCCTAAACCCCTATACCCTAAACCCTAAACCCGAGATAACCCGTTTTATTCAGTAAGGGCCTGGCGGCAGAGGCTAAGGCGTCAGCCTGCGCCTACAGATGCTTATGGGATTGAAAGATATACATCTAAAGAGGATCCAGGGATTGGGCTTCACGTTTAGGGTTTTGGGTTTCAAGATTTTAGGGTTTTAGGGGTGGTTGGAGTGTCATCGATCCAGGATGCATAGGGTTTTAGGGGAGAAGGCTTTGTTGTATCTGCCCCCTGGAACTCCGCAAAATTAGCCGTTTAGCTGTTAAACGGGAAGGAATTCAGGAAAGCAGAAAAGAATTCCGCTTTCAATTAACTCTAGTACAGAAATCGCCATTTTCTGGGCCCCAAATTTCCCGGGAAATTCATCCCCAAATAGGAAGAAACTCAGGAAAGCCAGAAAACGGTAAGTGGACAGCTATCATGCTCACGCATTTCTTTGGGTTCCTTTTGCTTACTGGTGGTTAGTAGGGAATAAGGGAATAGAATCTCTATGTACTCCCTATAGAATATGTTGAATTATTCCCTCTTACCCCCAGTAAGTTTATGACCTCAGGAGGACCTCTTACAAAACGTCATATGCGGCTGATGATAAGCCCCAATTCTCACGCTGTCTGTCCCAACAAAAGAAAAAACTAGCCAAAACGCCTAACCCCCAAAATCCTCAAAACCCCAAACCCTAAAAACCTTAACCCCCAAGTCGTCAAAACTCTATCAACCCTAATCCCCGAACCTTAAAAACCCTAACTCCAAAATCCTCAAACCCCTGAAAAACCCAAACTTTCTACGGTCTCCGCCTCCAGGCTGCATGGAGGCTCTGCTGGTCGGTGCCTCACACGCCCACATGCTGATTTCTTGGGTACTGCCCCCACCCAGTGACAGTCTATATTAGGGGTCCTATTAAGGGCTATATATAGCCATACTAAAATTAGTATCCAACTATTACTGGGTGGGGGCAGTATCCATTTCTCCTAAACTAGAACCCAGAGAACCGCTCTCCGTATATCCATGGATTCTTGAGAAGCGCACAAACGATGTTGTTCAAGATGTTTGGATCTTTTCCGGACCTTTAAGTCGAATCTTCCCGTTTGCAGGGCGAAATGTCAATCCTAGTGTGGACACGAGCCGTGAAAAAAGGCAGAAACAGTGGCTGTTGCAGGATAACCTCAAACCTGACGCTTCAAATCTCGGAATTTTGCACATCGATCAATAGAAGCCTCACAAAACCTTCTCACGCCCCTGATGAGGCTACCCCGCCTGAGGACCGGTTGTCCGCGAAAAAAACATACTAGTAAGTGTCATGTCACTACACAACAATAGACAAGACCTTTGATGGTAAATGTGTTCAGGTTCTCCCCCAACCAAAACTACGCCCACTAGGCATACACAAGGACCAGATAATTCCTTGTATCTCTTGAAGTTACCATCAGTAAGTGACGGGGGATCACCGAATGAACATTCAATGAATACTGCCCACACATATCTAGTGCCAATATAGTAGGGTCTTAGTGGATAGTCTTCCAAAAAAAGCTAACTGTTATAGGGAGTGGCTAATATCCCGTTAGAGTAAACGCGACACTCCGAACCCTAAACCCTGAACCCTAAATCCCAAACCCCAAACCCTTTTAAACCCCAGACCCTGAACCCTAAGCTCTAAACCCTGAACCCTGGACCCTAAACCCTGACCCCTAGACCCTGAACCCTACACCTTGAACCCTACACACTAAACGCTGCACCCTAACCCCAAGCAAAATATTTAGGCTGCTGACAGCTGAAGGAGCTCCACGGGCCTCGGATTTGGTAGAACAACTGAGAGAATCTGAAATTGTCTCCGTAGAAGCAAGGAGTTTAGGTTTCAAGCTGTAAGGATTAATGATTAATGATTGATTCGGGCTTAAAGGCTTAAGGCTCAGGATTTGAGCCTTGGAGTTTAGAGATTCAGGGGTTTGCAAGCACCCCCTATGACCTCTTTAGAAGCCCTTGGATCCTTGGGGACGGTAGCCTCTTCTCAGGGAAACACCTGCCTAACTACTATATTATAATAGGGTATATATTGGGGTTACATAGGGACAATGGAAAAGAAAATGGAAACTACTCTAGTATATTAGGGGTCCTGAAGAAAGTCGGCGCTGTCGGACAGAAGCTGCACTTCTCATGTTTCTTCCTGGTTCTTAGTTGGGAGTACGGAAGTGTAGAAAACATGTAGAAAAAAGGTTATGCAGAGATTGTATTCCCTTACTCCCTACTAAGAACCAGTAAGGCTTAGTCGCGCTCAGCCACTGAAGAGCTTTCAATATGACTCTGATCCACAGCGTAAGGTTTACAGAAGGAGGCCTGTGCCAAAACTGTACTTGCTGGTTGCTCGTAAGGCATTCAGGAATGGAAAGCCACATGGCAACTACCGGGAAATATGTAGGGGGCTACTGTAACCCTCAACCTTAAAGCCTGGGATCCATTCCTCCATGCTCTTCTACCCACCAATAAGTATAATTACAGTATAATCCTAAACCGATGTAGGATCGTCATTCTGCTGCCTGCCTGCCAAGATTGGGTTCTAGCCCCAAAGTATCAAGAGCCCCTCCCAAACAAAAAAAAGATAACAGAGAGAGAGAGAGAGAGAGAGAGAATGTTATATTATACATGTTGCAGAAACTCCTAAACTGGGCAGCAAACCCATCCAGCTGCAGGCGCGCTGTTGCCTGGCAAAATACTGTTTTGTTTTAGGCTTCACGGCTTGGTAGAGGGCTTCTAAAGGCTTTATGAAGAAGTTCTACCACGGATGCATAGCTTGCATAGAAGTCATACACAGGGGTAAAGAGTTTTCTGGAGGGTCTGTAGAGGCTTCTGAGAGGTTTTGGAAAATTTCATTGGGGGACTATAGAGGTACCAAACGGATAGATAGAATATTTGGAGGTTGTCTGGCGGTTTATGGGGGGCTTCTAGAGGTACCCAATGGATAGATAGAATATTTATGGCAGAATTGTATGCAGCGCAGAAAGGAGTGGGATTGTAGTTTAGGGCCGGGTTTTAAAGGGGCTATACAGTAGTTTTGAGGGCTTACATTATAGGTTCATGTGTTTTTAGCAGGTTTGTAAAGGCTTCAAAAGGTTTCTAAGGGTCTCCTAAAGGGGTCTAAAGGCTTGCGCAACTTTATACCGGGCTTATATACAGACGTAGAGGGCTGCTAGAAGGCTTGTGGAAATTGTTTTAGAAATTTGTGTAGAAGTTTTACAACTCGTTCATATCTGTTTGAGGAGGTATATTGATATTTTTAAAAGGCTTTCTGGAGGCTTTAGAGGCCTCAGAGAGGTTTTATAAAGTTTCGTTGTGGGACTATAGAGGTACCAAACGGATAGATAGAATATTTGGAGGTTGTCTGGCGCTTTATGGGAGGCTCCTAGCGGTACCCAATGGATGGATAGAATATTTCGTGCAGAATTGCATGGAGCCCAGAAAGGAGCCCACAAACCGATCCCGGCAGTTTGCATTGGGGATTCCTAGAAAGTTTTTGCAAGCATTTCAAGGCTTTGCAGAGAGTTCATGGGTTTTATAGGAGGGTCTCATAGTCCTATGGCCCCTTTTTGAAGCATTTGATAATCCTCTTTTGAAGGTCGTAGCCCCCCTGAAAAAGGGTCTTAAAGCCCCGTTTTGGAGGTCTCATACTCTTTAAAGAGTCTTTAAAAGGCCTTGAGCAGGTATTTTTGAGTGGATTATTCATCCGGGTTAACGGCCCATGGCATATTCTATCTATCGTTCTGCAAAATCCACATTTTCAAAAACAAAAAAAGCCCCTTCAATGATCTAATTCTATCTACTTAAGGATGACTATAGTACTATCATTATTACTATTGATACAAGCCCACTGTTGTCATCTCAACCCACTTCCTAGCCCTGACCAAGCCAGATTTTGATAAGAAACCAAGCCACCAAAGCCCAAGCGACCCGTCCGCAAAATCCGAAGACGGCTGGAAGAAAC